TAGAGAATGTTGAACTAAACACACCTCTAAATAATAGGCAATAAAACTGCATCATAATCTTATTCGTAGCAAGCATACTGTCCTATAGATTACACATTTCAATCCATTCATTATTTTATCTACTCTCCCTAAGAAATCCATTAACACTATCTTGCAATTAAACAACTCATTATATTTTTTTCAGATAAATCTGTTTTGATCTTTTTTATATATATTTACCATCTGTAGCTACAATGCTACATTTACTTTTATCTGGAGTGTAAGTTTAACTCAATTCCATTTAAACCAGGGGTGTCAAACTGCCAGCCTGCAGTTTCATCATACCAAAGCCGTGCCCACCCCATTGCCGGCAATGCAAAAAGAGTTGCAATATGACGTGATGTGACGAATTTGACACCTGTGATTTAAACAAAAGACAAGGAACTGCATCACAGCTATTGTTTTTTTAAAGAAAGACACAATGCAATGATTCCTCATTCTTTTACTGCACATTTAAGAGCGCATTTATGATGCAATGCTGGTTTTAGTAATAGTAGTAAAGTTGGAAGGGACCTTGGAGGTCATCTAGTCCAACCCCCTGCTTGGGCAGGAAACCCTAAACCATTTCGGACAAATGGCTGTCCAGTTTCTTCTTAAAAACTTCCAGTGTTGGAGCATTTACTGCTTCTGGAGGCAAGCTGTTCACTGATTAATTGTTCTCACTGTCAGGAAGTTTCTCCTTAGTTCTAGGTTGCTTCTCTCCTTGATTAGTTTCCACCCGTTGCTTCTTGTCCTGCCTTCAGGTGCTTTGGAAAATAGCTTAATTCCCTCTTCTTTATGGCAGCCCCTGAGATATTGGAATACTGCTATCATGTCCCCCCTTGTCCTTCTCTTCGTTAAACTAGACATACCCAATTCTAGCAACCGTTCCTTATATGTTTTAGCCTCCAGTCCCCTAATCATCTTTGTTGCTCTTCTCTGTACTCTTTCTAGAGTCTCAACATCTTTTTTACATCGTGGTGACCAAAACTGGATGCAGTATTCCAAGTGTGGCCTTACCAAGGCATTGAAGAGTGGTATTAATACTTCACGTGATCTTGATTCTATCCCTCTGTTAATGCAGCCTAGCACTGTGTTGGCCTTTTTGGCAGCTGCAGCACACTGCTGGCTCATATTTAAGTGATTGTCTACTAGGACTCCGAGGTCCCTCTCACAGTTACTACTATTGAGCATGGTGCCACCTATGCTGTACTTGTGCATTTGGTTTTTCTTGCCTAAATGTAGAACCTTGCTTTTTTCACCATTGAATTTCATTTTGTTAGTTATTTTGTGAATGTGTTCAGCAATTTCACCCAACCTGATATTCTCCAGATATGTTGGATTGTGATGCCTATCTACCCACAAGGAGAGCCCAGGCTGATAAAGATGAGGGGGAATGTAATGTCTACTTCTGAGCATATCACAAAGAACACAATCAACTGAAGTGGTGCAAGATCCACCGCTGACTTTATAATTTCAAGAAACGCTATTTTTCCTTCATGTGGTAGCCCTTTACTATACCCTGATTGCAGGCTGCCCAATAGGGTGATTTTCTACAAAAATCCCAACTGAGCAGACCAAATTATTCATGAGCAAGACTTCCATTCATAAAACAGATATGGGATGTTCATTCTGACAATCATTCTTTCAGGTGTGTTAAGCCATTCCTTTGAAATGGTTACTGTAAGCTTTTTGTGAATTCTGATGAACAGCTGCATCAGGCCACCAGGAAGTAAATACTGAGCATCAAACAGCATTTGGTGGTGGCTTATGGTCACTTGGAAATCACGCAAATGGCAAACACCTTCAAAATGCATGCAATTTAAATAAATGTCATCATGTTAAAAAAAAGTTCATAAACAATTGATAAACACAATTCATCATCCAATTATGTTGTTGACAGATATGTGAAAATTCTTTCAAGAAAATATTTGATATAAGGTCTTCCCATCTGAGCATGTCATTAACAATGGAAATACACTCTTTTGGATCCTCACAACCTCCTCTCTGTGGATTTGCATCTGCTGCCTTTTATGTGTATCTTGTTTCAGCTGCAGAGTGAGATACATAGCTGTTTCATTTGACAACACCTCTACAAATAATGGCTAAACTTAAAAATACCAGCCTTTTCTACTAGTCATAACTGCAGTTATTCACCTGCCCATTGCAATTCATAGCATTCAATGCTTCTGTTCACCTGCCATTCAGGATTTGAAAGTTAAGATACAGAGTAAACTGTTCAGATGCCACTACCAAAACACGGTCATTTAATTAGTACTTCTGAATTTCATTGAAATGTTAATTATGATCATGTAAATGACAATATACATTACTAAATACATCACTGTAAGAAACATAGATCTTGATAAATTAACATATTCCTGAAGATCTATTGCAGAGTATATAAAGACAATAAGGCTTAAGTAAGGTTACACTTAAACCACGTTTTGCGGCTGAGAACTCTAAAGCATGTCAGTATTTAAACACACACAATTTCAAATGTGAAACAGGAATTAAAAAGTTTAAACCTCTACCGAGCATGGCTGTTTTCTAGGCATCTCTAGTATATGAGTTACACAAAATGAACTATCTGCCAGAAATGTCTGATCGTACATCTTTGAAACTAGAGAGTAAGTGACAGGCTTATAATGGATGTGGAGTGAACTGTCCTTCAATGATTAGATAAAGGAAATGTTTAGTCAATATACTGACTAATGTTCTAGAAAGGTTAAATAATTCAACCGATTTGTTTTTTTGAAATCCAAGTTTATAAGTACTTTATAACTTTGTTTTTTGTTGATCAGAAATAGCAATGCTCTTGAGAAGTAGACAATGTTTGATTTTCCTATTTCAAATAGACATTTGGGATACTTGTACACTTTTGTTTACATAACACATTGACTTCATAATAGCCAGGACTCTGCAATGGGCTATGTTCCCATGGCAATTTTTCTTTTTTCTTTTGAAGGAGAGATAAGATTAAGGTTTTAAACAGAAATCATTCAATTGGAACTTGTGGTACTATTCTACACACATATATTGAAAAGGTTCAACAAACCATTTGTACAGAAAAGTGTTAAAGTAAGAAAAATTAAGGATTCATATTTCATATAAAAGATTCTGATACATGATTTTAAAACAAGTATTCAGGTAAAAGAGCTGCTTTGGGAAACAAAAAACAAATTAATTTATAAATATATTTTGAATATATAAATGATTATGGATACATAAAAAAGTCTGAGTTTTAAGATATTATTGATGAAAGCACAGTTGAAATACTGGAGATAAAAATGACCAGTTGTAAAAGAAATGCATTCATAAGGGTGTATTTTTTTTTCACTGAAAACAGAAAAGTAGACAAACTTTACAAATCTGATCATTTTGCATATAACTTAAAACTTCTAACTAAAGTGGAAGGAAGAAAACCATTGAAATATTTAATCCAGAGGTGTTAAAAGGCAGAAGAATCAATGTCATCAGAGCATGTGTAACTCCATCAATCAATAAACTGTATCACTTCTCAAAAATCTTGGAAGCAGTCCCGTATACATGGTTAATTTCTATTTTTTAATTGACAAAAGGACAAATTAAATATACAATTGATGAATTATTCTCTTACTTGCATTTAGTGTAAATGTAAAGAAAATTAAACCATGTTTAATGTTTATCCAGTATCCATCTATCATGTTTAGAAATATAACCTCCAGCCTGCCATTCTTATATCTGGGAAAAGCTGTGCACTCCTGATCTATCACTCAAGGGCATCTCTCATGAAAGACATATTTGTCATAGCCTCTAAACAACCCACTTATATTTAAGAGGGAGAAAAAAAAAATCTCTCCCCCCTCCCCCATCCCATTCTAGTCTCTCTGTTGGATGGAAGGAAGGTTCTAAAGAGGGACCAGTGAACTATACTCAAATTTGTATAGTCTATTCCATTATCTATTTGAAAGATGCATTATAGCATAATTTCTCTTGAAATGACCTGCACTCAGTCTCAGGAATGACTGTCCTCATTCAGCATATTGCTTCATGTCAAAAATAAGATAGCAGATCAAGCAAAAGTGCAACTTTTATGTTACTATCCAAAGGGCATCTTTCCATTACTGGAAAAGCAATTTACAATAGGTAATACAGCAAAGCCATCCTTACAAAGAAACAACATGCTTCTTTAGTGTTTCTTTTTTTAAGAAACAGGGCATTCAAGGATTGTTGAGATGATTATCTCCTAAACATTTTTTTTTTCTGAAGATGCATCTCTGAAGAATATAGTCATTTTTTTAAACATTCAATTTACCAGATCGCAGCAATTTAAACAACAAACCACGAAAAGTGAAGTTTTATCTACTACTATAATTTACTAATTACTAATTTACTAATTACTACTAACACACTTTAAACATTTTTCCTAACATTCAGTTATTTTACTAATTGATTTAACATTAACTGTGAGAGAGATCTTGGAGTCCTAGTGGACAATCACTTAAATATGAGCCAGCAGTGTGCTGCAGCTGCCAAAAAAGCCAACACAGTTCTAGGCTGCATTAACAGAGGGATAGAATCAACATCACGTGAAGTATTAATACTACTTTATAATGCCTTCGTAAGAGCACACGTGGGAGCCGCAATGTAAAAAAGATGTTAAGATTCTAGAAAGAGTACAGAGAAGAGCAATAAAGATGATTAGGGGACAGAATGGTTGCTGGAACTGGGTATGTCTAGTTTAATGAAAAGGATTATGATATGATAGCAGTGTTCCAATATCTCAGGGGTTGCCACAAAGAAGAGGAGGTCAACCTATTCTCCAAAGTACCCGAGGGCAAGATAAGAAGCAATGGATAGAATCTAATCAAGGAGAGAAGCAACCTAGAACTAAGGAGAAATTTCCTGACAGTTAGAACAATTAATCAATGGAACAACTTGCCTCCAGAAGTTATGAATGCTTCAACACTGGAAGTTTTTAAGAAGAGACTGGACAATTGTTTGTCTGCAATGGTGTAGGGTTTCCTGCCTGAACAGGGGATTGGACTAGAAGACCTCCACGGTCCCTTCCAACTCTGTCATTCTATTCTATTAAAACTGATTATACCTTTGACGGAAAACAGACTTATATAGCATACATATTATACAAACATATCTTAAGCATAAGCAAAGTTAAATATTGTCTACATTAGTAAATCTTCAGTAGGAAATATATCATAAACCTTCAAAAATCTGGATGGAAAATCAAATGTAGGTTCTCAAGTGCCCTTTCATAAATGTGCACCCACACCCACATTCACACAGATATAATCTGCCATTAGTTTTTGTTATCTGTGTCTGTTTGCTCCTCTGAAAGCAAAAATGGTCAGGAGATCATAAGCAAGATTGTTTCTACCTTACACAACCATATACTATTGGCTTTTTTGGAAAGTAGCATACCAATGCTAAGAACCTGCTGTGCTAGCTCTTTACAACAAACACCTGCTGGTAACCATGTGGTGTGTCCTAACCTCTCAGCAAGGACACCCATTTCTTACATCCTGAGCATTTCATGACTTTTTGCAGAGGTCATCTTCATTTTATTCAAGAAGACCCCATGCCCATTTCTGGAAGAATCATAAAAGGATGATACAACTAAGAAATCGAAGAAGAAAGATTTATTGGGCAGCATCTTTAAAGAAACTCACCCCCTGCAGCAATCAACAGAAAGCATAAGAGCACAACCCTGAAAATCAGTTTTTAAAATATTGCTCCACATCCCCCATCTTCAGAGCTCAAGGGGATGATCATGATGTTGCCAATTCTCCAGCACTGCTCTTGGTTTTATAATACCAACTAATTCCTGACAGGCAGAGAGCAATTGTTTATATCTGTTATATAAATAGTTGAACAAATGAAGCAATTCAAGGAAGAACACCACAAATCACCTAAAGTGAAACATTAAAACACGGAGTCAGATCTCCTGCATTATAATGAAAAGGGCTCTGAATCCTTAACAAGTAAGGTTTCTGTATCCCTGATGGCTGCAGCTCAGATCTGAGGTAGTTTTACTTATGAGCAAAATCCAATCCATACTAGGAAAAGTTATAAATATGCTTGAGCCTTAGTTTATATCAAGTTCTTTCCATGAATGGAGTACATCCATATTGTCCCTTAACATTTGCTTGTAAATAAGCCCTATATAAGTTATATAAGCAGCTCATTGAATGTAAAAGGGTTACATTTAATGATACCCAGGTAATTGAATATAAAAATTACATACAAATGTAAAACATAGAATGGACTTGGTAATAGCTTGGTAAATCTAGTTCCGAAGCTTTTATATAAAATGCACATGCATTGTTCACATATCATACTTCTTCACTGCAGATTTCATCAGTTTGTGAGCTAGAGTGTAGGACAAAGGAAATTGATATAAACACTTCATGAGAACAGTCATTTTACATATGAAAAAACCACTTCATTAAGTAATCTGAATGTAGAAGGCTATTAGTGAAGTGAAATGAGTAGAGAAATCAGAATAATGTGAACATTTATAACCATGAATACACCTGTTCATTTTTCCCAGATTATATTATAGCAATTTATATCTTCATAAAATATTCATTTGTCTTGACAAAACACATACAAAATCACATTAGCAATGGCTAATAACATCGTAAACTGTATCCACAATTCTAACACAACTATTATTACAGCTATTTAAAATATGACCCTATCAAGAGAAGTATGGCATTGTTCAGAACTGCCAGCAGAAGCCCCATGTGCAATGAATGGCTTTGTCATCCAGTAGCAAGGCACACAAAGAAACCGCCTCACAAGTTCTTATTTAATACAATATTCATTAATTCATTGAAAGTTGCAAATCCCCCCTTCCCTGAAAATGAAAGGAACCATAATAATTCTACTATACTAAAATTGTGTTTGGCAGTCAACACATCAATTAAAAAAAAAGAAGACAAAGCTAAGAATTAATGGAAGGAAGGAAGGAAGGAAGGAAGGAAGGAAGGAAAAAGTCTCTGAATACACTGAACTAAAATGACTACACAAACAATGTACATCTATCATACATCCATCACTCTGTTGAAACAGGAGTTATTTTATTCCATTCATAGATTATATTAATTCTTGTCTCTTCATAGAAAATAAAGAACAAAACAATTATAGTGAGAGTAAAAGTAATGTCAGCTGCCAAGCTGAGCCAAAACTTCATTGTTAACTATTTTCTGACAAATATATATATGATCCAACATTGCTTAACACAGCAGTCTTTGCTAGTGTTGTACTATATAAAAAACCCAAAACATATACCAGTATCAATTAAGAATACATTGAATGTTTATGTAAACTATGAATCCTTAAAGTAACCCAATCTATTTTCAATAGAACATATTTTTATGGATAACATAATCTTCATCACAATAAGTTTTATTACAATAGAATATAGAGTTAAATATCCACAACTGAGGCTAACCATATCTTTTATACATATGAGTACAGACAAGAACGACCAGGGTGTCTTCGTTCTTCATGTAACACTTTAATCAAGAGAGTGAATGTAGGAAATCAACACAATGGAGAGGCTCTCGTTTAAGGTACAAGTCTGAAGCATTTTTATTTGGAAGTAAAACCTATTGAAATAAATGAGATAATACACTTAATGTCTGATGGCCCCATTCTTGTAAGAGGTAAAACTCAACATTGATTTGTGAGAGACGCAAAGTACTCCGAAGCTCTGGGGTGCCTGTTTGATAAATAGAAAAGCGCATTTAATCATAGCTCTATTCAGAAGACCTAAAATGAGTAGAGTTAATTTTGCAAACTATTTCTGATATGAGCATTCAGTTAGAAATCTAGGTATCAGAAGAGATCATGTTCACGCTGCCACATTGACTGGGATTGAAATACTGTTTAAGAAGTACTGCCCAAAACAAATTAGGACCATTTTCTTCAAAAATCTTGCTCGGGCAAATATGTCACATAAAATGACTTTGAATATTATTAATTCCAGATATTTACTGTACAATAGATTGACACATACTATACACTTACGCATTTTCATCTGAAGATTTATTTGAAAACCAAGTATATATAAACTATCCTGGGTTATTTAGGCAGCTGAATTCTGTTTACCTTATCAGTGCTAATGAGGTGGAAAAAGGGTCAATTAATTAATCATTTTTTTTAAAAAAGGCAGGATAAAGTAAGATAATCCAATCAGAAATATTTGACATACCTGCAGACTGTGATAATCTTGACGATGAAATCACCTCCTATAAATGTGACTAAACCCTATATTTAAATCAAAATTTTCTTCTTTCTTTTCTTTCTTAAGCATCAGCTAAGGAGAGCTACACTTATCAGAATGAGGAATGGATTCATGGATTTGAAGAGAGCTGTGAACCTTAAAGCACTGTTCCCTCTCTCTATAGTACCCCTGTTCTTTCTTTAGGCTATAGAAATGAAGCTTTTATGGTTTCTAAAGTACCTCGAGAAAAAAAAACTTTAAAAGCATGTTACATAGCATCATGCTATATTCTTATTAGTTTGCTTGACTGAGCTCTTATATATATATATTCAGGTCAAAGTACATCATAATGGGCAAAACAAAATTCCAGAGTGCTTATTTTACAATATTTCACAGTTGTCACTAGTGACAGGCCCACAAGAAAACAGCTTCTTCTCAGATACCTCTATCATCCTGCTACATTTATTTATCTCACTCACCTGTTTGACTAAGCTGGGATGTGCTTCTGCTTCTGCGAGATACCATGGCAACTACTTTGGCACTAAGGCTTGATCTTCTCTTCTTCCCACCTGTTCCAACTGTCCCAACTGCGGTATCTGATTGACTCCCATCATTCTGTTCCAGCTTATATACTTCTCCACTCACACTTGTGCTCTTTGTGATGATTCTCCCTGAAGTCCCCATCCTTCCGCCTTGCATTTTAGGAGTAAACGTACTATATTTTCAAAATAAAAACATACATATACATTTAAATTATGAGTTTAAAACACACTAGTGTTTTCTAATAACATTGGTTTAACTTCTGCCTAAACCTTGATAAGAATACTTTCAAACTTCTTTGATACTTTCAAATGCTAGTTCTTAAAAGTAATGTCCCCCCTTCTCCAATCAGCTAATTAAAACAATCCCTCAGTTTCCATTTCCATTTATTAATTTAATTATATTCTTATATCCCAGTTGTAGTGTGAAAGGTCATGATTTTTCCTGATAAGAACTTTCAAAGTGAAAGATTTAAAATACTATGCTATGCTATAATTATGATCTATCATTCCTCCCATTAAATCTGTATAAAATGGGACACAGAGTTTGGGAGTAAACAAACTTGCCATCCACCCAGATCTCTTGTTTGAAACAAAATTCTAAGGGAATATAATGTACAATCTAAATAAAGTTCTCTGATAAAGTTATATTGGGGGAAATGAAAAGAGATACTTTTCCAAATTCCTTCATTTAACTGGAATATGAACCTGAAAACAACCTGAAAAACTGATTAGTCACTAAAGTATTATTTAAATGACAACATTAGTTTACAAACATTGGAAAAGAAAGTTCAATCTTATGCCATTATGTGAAACCAAGGACATTTTCTTTGAGAATATTTTGTTTAATCCAATATGCAGAAATCTGAAAACCCTAAGGAACTGTTCCACATTGCCCAAATGATTTTTTTAACTATGTGAAATAAGGGCAGCCAATTTTGACATGACATTTGTAGCTATTAATATACTATATAATTGTACCTTATCATACAATTCTTTACATGCATATTCAGAATTAGAACCTATTAAATTAATAGAACTTCCATCTGAGAGTTAAACTAGAGAAAGGTGAAATTGTAAAAAAAAATACCTGAGGAATACCAAAAATAGAACAACCATGATTGGGCAAAAATTAATGGAAGTGGGAGCAACTTCTAATTTCCTGCCAGCTTCTACATTGATATTGCTTGTGGGAAGTTGATGGGGAGCGTCAAAAATCACAATTGTGTGACTATGGCTGACGACAGCAGCGCTGCAGTGGCCACAAGTTTACAAATACAACTAGTCTGAAGATAACTTGAAATTTCAATTCCACAGGAGAAATGGATCTCTTGTTTGCATTCTTTTAATGCATTTGAGGTACCTTCAAAAATTCTGCCCTAGCATGCACCATTTTGCCTAATTGAAAATTACAAATAAAAGGACAGGAGAATTTTCAGTGGTATAGAGATTTATTTACATGGGACAATGCTTAATTCTCTTTTGAAATAAATTGATGTTATTTTTTCTGGATCTACTTCTTTCTTCCTGTTTTTTTCTCCTTGGAAAAAACATCTTGCAGCCAAACTGCCTGTTATCAAGCAGTCAGTGGATTATTGCATGTGTTGCAATGCGCACATGTTGTGGATTGTTAAATTGAGTAAAGAAAGGATTTATTACACAGAAACAGAAAACATGACTGGCACTGAAAGAAGACTGGCAATGAAGTAAGAAACAAAAGACTAAAATACAAGATAATAAAGGACTATTGTTTGAGCAATTCTGATGTGATCTTTTTTTTTTGCCACCAAATTTTAACCATTACAAATCAATTTTACTCTGGTTAGGGTTAGATTTTTCTATCACAGCTACCCTACTTTATATAAGAATTTCCTATTCTAACATAGGAACCCCAAAGATGAAAAATGTAGATTGGTTTTTATAATAGCAGCCACAATATTATCATCACGACCATCATCCCAAAACAAGAAAAAAAAGTCAGTTCTTTCCTTAACATCAAGGGCAGGACACAAATCTTATACATGATAAATCTAATTTTTTTGTTGTGAAACAAATTAATTACAATATTAGCCATGTCTATTATTGAGCGACTATTTTAATTTTCCATTCTCAAATGCTCAAAGATGAATCTTTCTTGAGATCTACTCCCCTGAAAATTTGATATCAGTGGAGTTAGTCAGCTATAGTTTTTGGTGGATTTCATTTAAAAATAGGTAATTATGAAGAAATCATCTTAGTATTTATTCTTAACCATAACCACCTTTTATCAGAATAAAACTAGATAAGTAAGAAACAAAATGAATTAAATCCTCAACCCTGGGAAAACAAAAAAGTCATTCATTACACACATTTGTTCTTGAAATAAATAGTGAAGCTCTTTGCTTTACTGCTATTGTTTTGAATGTATCACAATTATTAATTACACAAGGATTAGGATGCAGGATAGACACATAACATAATTTTTTGGGGAAGACTAGAATTCACAATATTCCAGCTTCTAGCTTGGTGCCTTAACTATTACTCCAAACTATACAGTATAGATTTCCATTACAATATTAGAAATAATTAAGATAAGAAAATCCTAGTGATATGTCACTGTGATTGTTGTCAAACATTCTGATAATTACATGTCCCAAATCTCTTATTAAAGGGATAAGAAATCATAATCCTTGATACAATAGTTCTGAGATAAGCAGTTTACTAAAATCTATACTAGGTACTGAGATGCCTTGGAAAATTACATTTCCCAGCATCCTTGATGCACCTGTCTTCTAAGGCCTTCCTCATCATGGGCCATCAACCACCGGTGCTTCATCTCTACACTTAAATTCTAAGGGAAGGGAAGATTACAGAAGCTTCCAGTGATCACTAATGAGCATCAAAGCTAAACTTGGGGGAGTGATTTTTTTTTTCCTGGTAATTGAGAGATACCGTGATTTGACTGAGCCTATCTGAATCAAGTGAAAGTTTTACTACACCGCAACCCAGAAAACCTTGTGGTAACCCTGTATGGCTATTGGACAGTGTCTCCCCCCTCCCAATAATGGAGCAATCCTATTAGCCTACTTAGCCTGCAGGACAATTAACCTTTGAAAACTGAAGGTTTCAAAAAATATTTCACAGGAATATCTCAAAAAGAAGGCAGCCCTTGGGGCATTTATAAACTTAAATTAGCTTTCTATTTTAGGATTAAATAAAGAATTGCTGAATAACTGCCACTTAGTTCTGAAAAGAATTTCAGAATTTGTATGTGAAATAGGGACATCTAGAGCTCAAAAACAAAATATCAAGCTTCTATCAAGATTCATATCCAGATTTTTGAGGAACCCTAAAGCAAATTTAGATCTTTCTGATGGATTTAAATTATTCTTAAAATCATCTATTTCTCATTAGAAGAATCCCATCATCATTGAGAGATAAATACAAATTAACTAAAAGAATTAATGTGGTCCTATCAAAAGCTGAGCTATTCAAACAATCAACATTGTATATTTTGATGGCACAAGCAAGCTACACTTCACTGTAATCATCAGTGTTTTATTTCAATGATGTGATGCAACAATGGAAATAAAAAGGCATACTTTACTTATTGTGGGATTCAAATTGAGCAGCATGTTAAAATAATATAAATTGGTCATTCTAAGTTTCTCAAAATAATCTTTCAACATGTAGTTCAATTATATGCATACAAATAAGCATATGACAACACTCCTCCCCTCAGATTCAGTTTAATACATAACAAACATCACATTGAAGGCTGTATAATTTTAGTTTGCCAAATAAACTTACACATTTAATATCTGTTTTGTAAAATGACTCACCTATGCACTCTATGAAAATACATCTTTTTTTGAAATGAAGGCCAGCAGCACAGATGCTTCTGCACAAGATGTGAGTCACTATTTTTCGATCTTGTTGATCTCTTAGCATGGAATCTTTGATAATTTCATTCAGATAGATTGTCCCTATTTCATATAATTCTTCAGTACAATAATAAATTATTGATAGCTCATGGGCTTCTTTTTGGACCATAGATAGGTTTCCTTATTGTGGTTTGTTGACAGATTTCATGAATGCTGTCTGCTTTCTCCATTAAATACCTACTACTGTAAATCTGAGTGTCTATGGATCTCTTTACAAGGAGGTGGCTCATGAATATTAATTTCAGGGCAAGCAGAAGTCCTGGACCAAAGAGAAAGATAATCATCTCTATTTAATGAGGAACATCATATTTCTAAAAATAAACTACCCTGTTATTCCAAGTGTCCCATATTTAAGTGTTACTTCAGAATGTCCTCAATGGTCCTTTCAGTCAATCACATTCTTATCTTGAAAAGAAAAAATAGTCTTTTTACAAACTAATTAACATTACGATCCTATACAAGTTTTCTTACAAACAGGTTCTGTTCAGTGAAACTTAATTATCAGTAAATATTTATAAGAGTAGGATGTAAACAAAAACTATTTAATTTTAAACCAAATGAAGACTTCAATTGCATTGATCAGAACTGTCCAGTAATAAAACTTCACTCCTGTCATCTTTCTTTATTGGAAAGGAGAGTAATTTGAGATTCACCCTATAATCAAGTGGTGAAGAACACATAAACTGCTGAATATTATAAATAGCTACTCAACATGAAGAATAATGAACATGATAGTGTACCAAATAACGGTAGACATATTATGTGTCATAACCTTTTTGGCCCTGGGCACTTTCGCAAATGGCTGCCATGGATGACATGGCCAGTCATCAACATTTTACTGGAGGATTTAGTAAAGTTATTCCTGCTTTAACATTCTAAACCGTTCCATCGCATGCTAACATTCCACTATTTCATTTATACTTTGTCATTTTCTAGGCATTCTTCCAAACAAAAATGTGTCATGGCCAACCACAATTTTTGCTGTCTAGAAGTGTTATTTATTTGTTTTTAAATTGGCTTTATTATTTTCATAAATACCTGAAGGTGGCAAATGTACCTAAGACTTCTTCCTCTTATTTTCCCCATAACAACCATCCTGTGAGATGAGTTGAGCTGAGAAAAAATGACTGGCCAAGATCACCCAGCTGGCTTTCATGCCTAAGGCAAGGCTAGAACTCAGAGTCTCCTGCTTTCTAGCATGGTGTCTTAACTGAAAAACATTCTAGTGAAATGAGTAAGGTAGTACCAGGTAGTAGGCACATTCTTTGCTTCAATGATTATTATTAGATTTTTATCTAATAAATGGTCTATGTGGGGAGGGGGGACAAGGCAGCAGAGCATACTTAAAGTATAGCTTCCTATTTCCCCACAACTACAACCCTGTGAAAGTGGGTTGAGATGAGAGTCAGTGACTGGCACGAAGTCACCTTTCTGGTTTCATCCCTAAGAGATGCAATCCTCCCGGTTCCTATGCCTTAACTACCACACCATCCCACTATTATAGACATCTGCAAACTAGCTCCCTATATTATACATTATAATGGTACCTATCTCACCAGTTGGTGATGTCTCTCGAGAATTCTTCTCCAAATCTCCTGAAGATGTCTCTTTGTTAGTATCTGACCACCAACAAATCCTTCAAGAAAAAGGGAAACTCACCTCACAGCTTAAATGAGGGTGGAAGTCCAAAGAAATAACATTTAAAGGATGTGGTCACTTAATCCTATCTCCAATAATTCTTCTCTCAGTAGCACTGGGTTTTAAGTATGCAGACTAGAATATATTCAGACTTACGTACTGAATGTGTGTGTGTTTATTCCTTACAGAAAAGGCACTTTCATGTAAGATATAATGTTGCTCTTCCAGCTTGGCCAGACCAAAAAGAGTCACTTGATATTTAACAAAGATACGCAATCAGTTTTTGTTTATCATGTGTTTGTGCTCTATCAGTTATGATATGTAAATTGTTTTACAGTTAGAATTGCCTTGATTCTAAACATTATGAAATAACAATATAGTACTAAATATTATGAAAATGGTGAAAGATATGAGTTGTCTCCTCTAAACCATAGATTTTGACTGAAATAAAATAGAGGAAATTATTAGTTATTAAATGTGTTACTGTAAAATTTTGACTCCTGGTGATGGGAGGGAGAAAAAGAGCTGTGAGATGTTTGATTTTTAAAAAATACCTTTGGTTATTCAGAATAACAACCAAGCAATGCATAAACATCAGTTGAAACATATGTCATTCTTCCAAACTAATGAAATCATGACATCTTGGGTTACAGGTACAAATTCACAAGGGAAAGAAGCTAGCCTTTACCTCACATCAGCAACAGTATGCCTTCTCATCTTTTTTTTCCCACTGTGCCCCGTCTTGTCATCTAACTCCCACGAAATCCTCCTGTCTTTTTTGCCATCAACTTTGCAGTTCTCTAAGGATTTTGATCTTCCCATAGTCACAACATGCAGGCATGCAAAATTAAATGTAGATAACTCAAAATGAAAAAAAGGAATTATGAGGTACTTGTTATCTGTCCCATATGTCACCTCCATCTGCATAGCCAAGCTTTATCTCCCCACCAACAACAATTTATCTTATCCCTTTTTCAAATCCTGTATTGCAGTGTTTGTCAACCTTGACAATTTTAAGGCATGTGGACTTCAACTCCCAGAATTCCACAGCCAGCATTGCTGGCTGTGGAATTCTGGGAGTTGAAGTCCACATGCCTTAAAATTGTCAAGGTTGACAAACACTGAGTGTATTGGCTTAACCATTTCTGAAACTCAGCAATTTCAAAGGTGTAGACTTCAACTCTTCAAGGGGCTGGCTGGAGAACTCTGCACATCTTGAAGTTGCTGAGGTTGTGAAATATTGGGTTAACCACTCCACCTGACAAAATGAGCTGCAGCTTACAAAAGCTTATGCCTTTTAGGAAAAGTTGTTAGTCAAAAAAAGGGGCTTAGACTATTGATTGGTGGCTCCAATAAATTAACACATCTCTCCTTGTGCAATGTCTAGCTTTGCGTGTAAATTTAACAAAAGAAAGAGGGAAAACTAAACCACTGAAAACATATGATTGCAAAATCACGTTATCTGAAAGCAGGCTTGTGAGCAATTGATGCCCTAAGCACAGCCCAACAATAAAACCCTTTGGCCCTTCCATTGTTTAATTAACAAAACATTAAAACTCAATAAAAGTTGAAGGTGAAACAGGAGGTTAAAAATTCAGTTTTCTTCCTAGTCATCTCCCAGGCAAGACACCAGAACTATATTAAACTTTTTTTAATTCACACTACACAGCCATAAATAATAGAATTTCTTTTTATTATAACTAGGGCAACAGAAAAAAATGCAAATTTCAATGCTTCTTAATGCATTTTTAATAAAATTATTGTAAGGGGAAAATGGAGATACAATTTTTTTTGCTAACTAACTATTTTTAATCGCCCTCCCAAAGATAGCTAAGAGAAATAACCCTTCCCTTGGTGCCATAAGCATATGTTTTTGTTTGTTTGTTTGTTTAATGATTAATCCAAGATTATCTTAAATGCAAGAAGGGCTAGGTTTACTGGTTTTAAGGGAAATTTTATTTTTTCTTTCTGGTTTCATAATTTATAAATCTTTGTTCAGTGCTATTTAATCAGTTAAATAAAGAAGGACTCTTCAAGAAAAGTAGTCGCACTCTCACACAGTTGAAGTCAGATAACAAAAAAAGTTCCAAATTTATCAAAAACTATTAGGGTGTTTTGTACCCTTGTACAGAAATAAAGCAGACTACTATTTGGCTTGCTAAACTGTAATTCTTATACCTAAGAATTGTAATTTTAAGATAGGGTAACTCTGTCACATAGTATATATATTAAAAATCTTATTGCTGAGAAATACATTTGAATAGCAAGCAATGCTATTGCTTAGTGTCTTAAAAAAGAAATACAACTGTTCATTCAGGAACATTATTGCAACACTTTACTTGGAATAATTCCAATCAAACTTGATGGACATACTTATGAAAACACCTGCATAGGATTATACTTTTTCAATGGGTTTCTAAAAATAAATCAGATATTTATGTTTTGTCTATATTAATTAAATTCCTGTAGGCTATGAAATACTTTTTTGCATTAATTCAAGAGATGTCTGTAACCTATAATTCTCTTCTGAATTTGCTTTTTCAACTCAGATTCTCAAACTACTGTAGAGGGAAACAGAACAATGGAATACTAGATCATATGCCTGAGATTTGTTGAAGGTAACAGAAAATTCCTACAGATTTCTTCTTTACCATCCTTAAGTAATATTTCTATGCCATCTTCTCCCAAAATAAAAGAATTGGATAGATTAAAAAGAAAATGGTTGATTAAAGGATTTTCTTTGTGTGTGTGTGTGTGTTTTTTTGGGGGGGGAGAAGAGAATCTGGTTCATATTTTCCTAGAAAGTTAAACAAGTTGTGTTTTACCCATAAGACTTGCCCTTTATCTTATCATATATTGTTTATGTGAATGTATCAAACACTGAAATAGTCACTCATATGTCTGTAAACCCAAAGTTACTTTACAGTCTACATGTGAACATTCTGAAGCAGTTGAAAATGTAGATTATGTATTTTTTTCTGGACTTATAGCTCTGGCTTGAGGAACAGATGGCAGTTGTGTCCAGATAGGTCTTTGTACAGGTTCAATATATGCCAGTTGTGCCCATTTCTGAACTGGGAAGTATTCTGAACCTGCTGGACAGTCACTCCCTATCACTGGAAGGCTTGCTTTGATTGCTTTCTGTGGGGCTTGCTGCAATGCACTCTACGTGGACCTACCTTTGAAGGTCACTTGGAAGCTGCAGCTAATCCAGAAAACATGGGCAGTCATAAGCATGCATAATATGCCCATGTAACACCTATGTTCTTTTACACTAGCTAACAGGTTCGGAGCAATTTGAGATGCTTATAAACTCCTTCATTGTGTAGGGCCTGGCTACTGTCTGTCTCCTGTGATGCCTGTCTATCCTGTTTAATCTGAAAGAGTTGTCATCTTCTGGGTCCCATCAATTAAACAATGCAATCTCATGGGACCCAAGAAGTAAGTCTATTTTTATGTGCTCACTATACTTTGGAACAGCATCTTTCCAGAGATTTGTGTGGCTCCTGTCCTAGTCTTATTCAAATAAGCTTTAAAACCTAGTGCTTTCTCAGGCCTCAGTTTACATTACATAAGCTTCTGATGGAGAAGTTCTATGTTAAGAACATGTTGGTTTATTCTTGTGGATTCATTTTTAAGATTGTATACTGCCCAGAACTGTTACAGAGTCAAGTATCCTTAAAAATTTGAAAAATATCTGAATAACATACCACAACCAAATACTTTAACTGATTTTGTGTTGCTCACAGGAAATTACCATACAACTAGACTTATGTTTTAAGGATTTCAAAGATATGATGCAGAAGAAGTATTTCGTAAAGCAACTTAAATGTCCAGACTGCTATTTGATTATGATTGCTTCATTAAATAAGGACAGATACAGTGGTTACAATGCAATACTGCAGGCTACTTCTCTGACTCCAGGCTGCCATCAGTTTGGCAGTTCGAGTCTCACCAGCTCAAATTTGACTCAGATTGTTGGGGGGGGGGCAATATGCTGACTCTGTAAACCGCTTAGAGAGGGCTATAAAGCATTATGAAGCGGTATATAAGTCTAAGTGCTTGCTATTGCTACAGGCTTTTTATATGAAATAAAACTCTTGTTAATTTTAAGGGATGCTTTGTACACTGACTATTAATTATTAAATACTGGCTTGATTTTAGTAATGGTTCTGATATGTTAAACTGATGTAAGATCAGTTTTATTTTCAACACAAATCTAACATTACTTCAAAAATTCTTATTTGACTTTATATAGATTGTAAATCATGTCTATATTTTTTTTTACTTTTTACTTGAACAGAATAAAAGAGTTGGAAGGGACATTTGAGGTCTTCTATTCCAACATGCTGCTCAAGCAGGAGACCCTGTAACATTCCAGTCAAATGGTTGTCCAATCTCTTCTTTAAAAAATCTGCAGTAATGGAGCACCCACATCTTCTCCTTTTCTTTTCTGTGGCCCTGCTTTTAAACAATTATTAAAAATAAAAGGGAAAAATCATACTGCAAGTGTAAAAACTTCATTCGCTGGAGTTCAAGCTATATTGAACTTGCTTGGATGGTAGTTAACAGCATCTGCTTGAAATTCCTGCACATTTCAAAGGATCTTTGCAAATTAGAGGGGTTTTTTTCCTGCACTTTCTTTGAACCCTTGATATGTTTTGATGTAATGCTATATCCTGTGGACATCTGTATTTGTGACACATGCCTAAAATGACTTTTTCTAACTACTGCTTTACCATATGAAGAGAGGTGAGCTCCTTCGTCTGATCTCACCAAATGTTTACTGTTGTTGAGGAATCTGTTCATTTTGTAAAATTATGTGAATCTAAAATATAGGGTTTAGCAAATCATTGTACTTTGTATGGAAAAAGACATACGGTTTTAATCAGCACATTACGCTAAAGATTTAAAGCTCACCTGATTCTGCCTCTTGGATGCTCGGATTGCTCTGACATAAAGCTTGTGCTGCTGAGGCGAGAGGCACTGCTGGTGCGGGAAATAGCTGACACATCACTGACATCACTGTCTGAGGACTTGGCAGAGACATTATCACAACTTCTGTACTGATCGGTTTGTATATTATACTGAAGATGAGAAGAGACAATGTGAGGTCCATTGACACGCATGCAAAACCAAAAATGTCATGTCATTACAAGCACCCGTTATGAGAGGCACAACTTCAGAAGGCTGCCAATGAGCTGCTGCTGCTTTTATGTAGTACAGTAATTAAAAAAAGGGGCATACACTATTTCATAAAGTTTAAGGGACCAGTTTATGAGAAGGTAAGCAGTAAGAATAGAGTATTAACTTCAAAATGGGTAAATAAAAATATTAATTTGCAAATGACCACGATTCTGATCGTTTCTGTATGCACCCATTATCTCTGACTTTAAAAAAAAAAAAGACTGGTAGGCAGCATTGTGGTAAGGAGCCAAAGATAATTTTGCCATTCTCATGTTCAGCAAGAAGTTGCTTTAAAAAGAAAAAAAGGTGGCGGTATTAGCATTGTTGAGTATTGAAATGATTAAGGGTAACAATCTGAGCTGCTAAATGATGATGCAATCTCTTCAAAGTTTCTACTCTAAATTTGATTTTCAACGAGTGTTTACTACTATCAGTGCCCATGGTCCACATATGGATTTTGTTGATTTCTAGTGGATACTCTTAAAACTACCGTATTTTCTGGCATATAAGACGACTGGGCGTATAAGACGACCCCCGACTTTTGAGAAGATTTTCATGGTTTAGAAAGTCGTCTTACACCCCGGAAAATACGGTATTATTTAGCAACCAGGAAATGGAAAGTTTATAGCAAAATAAGGATACTAGAACAAAAAACCCTGCTTCTTGTTAGCATTTCTGTTGTTCTTTAGTGCTGCTTTTAATGAAAGGAACAGATAGCACAATCCAACTAAAATGACCACTTCAGAATGACCTGAAAATGGTCATTTCAGAATGACCTGAAAATACATTGAGTATTGATATTTTAGTAATTTAACAATAAATAATTCAATCACCCTATTTGTCAGCTTGGACAACTAGTTGAGAATATAAATGTAGTACATTGGCTATAAAAATATATATTTGAAAATCCCAAAAAAAAAAACCAAAAAAAAAATCCCCAACACCCTTCTAAAATTTATCAAATCATCTATAAGCTATGCTCAGTTTCAAAACCTATCTACAGTACCAGTGTTTCATGCCTGATTTTACAATTAAACTCCCTGCTTTATATTATGAATACTACATAAGAAGCATATAAAAATTATTATAAAATAATAAAAAAATATTTCACAAAAATTATTTATAAAAAATTTATAAAAAATTATTTCACAAAATTAGGAAGTTGTATATATAAACACGTTGCTGCTAGCAGTCTCCTATAATCTTGCCCTCAAGGCTTAAAACCCCCATCTGCCTGAATCAGCTGTATAAAGCTGCTTGTTTCCTGGCTTTCAAAGTTTCTGCTATCTGTCCCTTGTTAATAAAATTCCCACTTTACAGTTTCAACCTTCGAACTATTTCATTACGATTAGATTAGGTATTGGACCAATTTTCAATCTCTAATGGTCCTTTTTCTGTTACACATCAAATGATCGAATAAACTCAGGTAATAACAAAAAGATCAAATAAATCTTTTTTAAAAGATTAAAAAATCAAGTAAATTGCAGACTGTGTGGAGGCAATATCCTATAGTCTATCCACCAAAAGATCTCCCCAAAATCATGGTGATACTTTCTGGTTTTCCTCAATGGGAAATTTTTAGTATGGTATATTTGCACAATACGATAAGCCATAAAGCTGAAAAAGGCAGTTTGCAAGCTACATGGTTCAGAAGTGGGGGAAGCAATGATAGGCAGCCCTATACAATTTTGAAGCAGTTGTGCAAGATTTGAAAAATATATAAAAACTTTAATGATTCAAAGTAATGGGGTTCATTTGTACTGCAAACATTGTGAAGCACCTCTTTCAAATGCATTGCACTGCTGTCACAGTTAACTTTCTTTTGTTAACTGTATTTTGTTAACATATAAAAGGCATTACATGTTAAACAAAATCACAGATGTATTTTTATAAATAATCATCTACTCTAAAAGTTGATGTTACATTGCATAATTATAAAGCAGGGGTGTCAAACTTGCAATGTCACGTGATGTGTCACAATGTATTGTGACTTTTTTTCTATTGCCGGCAATGGGATGGGCGCAATTTCACCATGACACATCTGGACGCAGGCCAGCAGTTTGACATCCCTGATATAAAGAATTCCAAGCAGCTATGTCTGGATGGTACTACAAATGTTTACATGAATATTGCACCAGGCGGTACAAATATTGAGGATGGAGGTATTACCCCTTATCACAACATAGCTACAGTTAATTCATGGTTTTCAAGTAACTGTGAAATAGACCAAATGTCAAATAATACTTCGTGACATACAGGTATGAAAGTCTACTATTAATTTATGAAGCTATAAAACCATAATTTACATACAGCAATGCTAGTAATTGTAATAGCCAGCAAAATATGAAAACAAAAGCATGTTGTACATATGGTATTTTATATTAAATACATCTTTCTCATGAATACTTCAAAGTGGAAATCTGTTTGGAATATTAGACTAAGTGACATTGTCACAGGTAATCCTTTTTTAGTAACTGAAATTGTGACCAGCAACTCAGGATTTAAGCAAAATGGTCACTGAAAGAAAAATCACATGACTATGACTCTGCTTCCGATTTTACTTCACATTTCTTTTCTTTTACGGTATCATCAAGGTTATGACCCCAAACAGGTAAGGATTCAGGAAGTTAGGCAAATCTTACAACTTTTTTCCCCCACTACCCTGCCCTTGGAAATGCTTACACTGGCACTGGGCTAATTATCTTATTTAGTAGTAGGTTGTGGTCTAGTTCAGTGGTTCTTAACCTGGGCGATATCGCCCCCCAGGGGGCGATTTCATTTTTTAGGGGGACGATGGAACGAAAAGGGGCGACGCGGGGATGAAGGAACGAAAAGGGGGCGATATGGGGGCGATGGAGCAAGAAGTTTTGGGGACACTTTTGAGACTTTTTCGTACAGTGAATGGCTGTATATCTGTTGTACAAAAACATCAGATCACTCACTATTAGTGGATTGAATTGTGTTTTTAAATGTTCCTCCAGCTAGCTTCAGTACAGAACACCGTACATATGTGAATACGCATCGCTTATCTTCATGCGCGTTGCGCAGCAGTCTCTACCCATACAGTGGTGTGCCATTAGCCAGAATATGGGAGATATGAGAAAAAGACTGGAAATAAATTATTTGCATTGATATGTCCTGATGACAATTTTAAAGAAAACAAAAAAAGTGTTTGCATAAATTGAAGAATTATTTCCTAGGTTGTGATTGAGAGGTTATGTTGGGGGAGAGGGGCGATGACAACTTCCTCATTGGCTCAAGGGGGCGATTTGTTCAAAAAGGTTAAGAACCATTGGTCTAGCTTATCAAATACCTTACTGAAGTCTAAGTAAATTATATTCACAGCATTTCTCTGGTCCATTAATTTTGTCACATTGTCAAAGAATGCAGTAAGATTTGTTTGGCTCAATCTGTTTTTGACAAACTCATGTTGGCTTCTGTTTATGACTTTGTTTGCCTCTAGCGTTTGCATATTTGTTGCTTGATTATCTTTTCCAGAATCCTCCCAGGTATTGATGTCAGGCTGATAGGTCCATAATTTTTTTTCCAACTTCAAAAAAGGAAAAAAAAAATGGATCCAGGAAACTACAGATCTATCAGCCTGACATCAATACCTGGAAAGATTCTAGAAAAGAAATATAACAATATCTGTTCTTCCAATATCTTTGCTTTCCAAAAACTATTGTAATTTAATTGTCTATTTAATAATTATTTATTAGATTTCTATATGGGCACATATAGAATTTATTGTGGCTTCCAGCAGAAAAATCATAGAGTAGAACCAATTTAAGGAAAGTAAAGTTTTTAACAGTTTTTAGTTAAAACAGTTAAAATCCATATTCCCACTGTTATTATATTTATTATTAATTATTCTAATACCCATAACCATATTAAAATTTCTTCTAAACATCACTGCTTTCATAGCCTTTCTAAATATCAAGAGAAAAGGAGCTATATGGATATAGGAGAAGGGATATTATCTCAGGGGTTTGTGACATTACTAAAAAGCATTGCTTTCTGCTCTCCCCCTAAGTCTCACACAGGTAAGCAAAACTCTCAGCACTGCAGCAGTTCCTAACTAGCTTAGTGGAGTACACTTAGTGGAGTGACTTTTATATATAACTATAAAAAAAAGTAGAATGAGACAAATTGTCTAATACAAACAAAAGCAAAGAGAAGGTCCTAAAATACCATTTTTTGGTATTTCTGAATGATGGGGAGCAAATAATAAAAAGCAAAGGAGAAAAAGGACAGTACAACATAATCATACAAACTGTGCTTGTTTTCTTCACACATTGCTACACAAACACATAATAGGTAGAACATGCATCACAATCTCATAACACGTGATGAAAATGCTGGGTTCTGCAGATTACATTTATCAATACCTAAGTTGCCATAATGTTTTGATCTGAAATCTTTGAGGGAATTGCAAAAAATTGCACAACATTTTTTAAAAAATAAATCCCATGATAGGGTTATTGTCTAGATTGCCTACAATAGATAAAAAGTGGTGCTTGCATTAACAAATTGATTCAATTTCTCCTGTTAGCAATCAGTAAGTTATTCTAGAAAATCCTAATTATTGGATAATAAAATCACTAGCAAAAATCACACACTTTAAACAAAAACTTCTGCTTGTAAATAAACAATTATTATATATGATTGATCTGACTGTTTAGTATACAACTGAATATGTGAATAGCAAATTGAATCCTTTCCTTCTGCCAACTCATGCTATAGTATGTGACGAGCTTATTATCCATGGAAGTCTTTATAGATAAGTAAAAGCTTTCTGCTGTAAACAGTCACACTATGTACATCAAAAACAGTTGTGAGAGATTATGGGGAAGAACGAAAAGGAATGACTTAAAGAGGGAATGACTTGCTCAGCGCTTTTTCTGAGCTACTCAATTGCTTCTTGCCTGCATAGGGCTTGTATTACTACTTGAAATGTAAGTTTCCAAAGTGTAGAAAGACTTTTTTTTTAAAAAAAAGAGGGATATCTCCCAGATTCAGTTACAAATCCTAGAGAAAGATCTCCAATTTGACAAAAATGATTTGTTTTAGAAATCCTCCTTAAGATGTTTTTTTAACTTTAATTGACACAACATGAAGATTAATGACTAATGTTCTCTATTATTTTAATGGGTGGGAAGGGGGAACAAAGCAATAATTTTATTTTCCATAACCAGAATAAGAATGTTTAAATGTAACCATCTCATATATTCTTTTAATGCAATTAGTTTTTTTAAAAAAAGGTGAGAAGTGCTCCCTCATTGAAAAAAATTCACAAATGAAATAATGATATAATAATATGGTTTCTGTAAAATAACATAGTATCAGTAGCTTCCTAAGTTAAACCAATAAAGAGCATCTTTGGAGTGATATCAGGTATTCCTCCTCAATATTTTTGTTTTATGCCATATTTTTAACATCTATGTAAATTCTCCAACTTTTGAAACAAAGTGTTGTATTTTGATATTTACCTTAGTATATTGCTCATGTTCAAGTTCTTGACTAGAACCACACCCTGTTGTCTGATTATACCGGTGCATTTTCATTTTCATCTGTCTTGTTCGCTCCTCCACTACTAAATTTACTGCAAAAACAGATAATGGAAAACTATTAAAAAACGGTTGAAAAACTTTGAACATAGGAAGTGTTTTGATGCAAATGTGACTTTATTTCAAACTGAATAAATATTCAAACAGCATCTCCATCAGGATGTGAAAACAAAACATAAGCATGCTAATGGCTGATCAACAAGGATTGCTTGGAAACCTTATCTACATATTTCCAAATTTCCGACATATTCATAACAGGCATTCTTTTATATAGAATATATCTTAAAATTGAAAAATATTATTTTTTTTTCCTTTTCAAAATATGTCTCTCTACTATATACTTCTACAAGGATAACATTCCATCCATGTTAAAATATTTATTGTACTTTTAAAATAATTTTAATGAGGTTCTTAAAAGATATGACATTTGCAAATGTGGTAGAAATGGCTTCCAAACAATTTTGCATCACTTTGTTTATAACTGAATTGAAGCCTCAAAACAGCAGCCTGTTTATATGCAAAGCTTTTCTCTATATTGAACGGAGGTTATGGCCTCACACATATATTTTGATACAGGAAAACATCCTGGTTGGATTGTGTCTAATTTGACCCTAGAATATAGATTCCTGAAATATATATATTCCTTCCATAGAACAAGAACAGTAAATTCAGTTTCTTAGAAAATCAGTGTACATCATCATCTACTGAATTTAAATACCTCCTCACACCTGTGTGTGCAAAGTATAACAATACAAGAAGGAGAAAAGGAAAGGGAAAGTATGCAAAGCATAGGTGTAGGTAAATACATAATCAAAACTTAGTTTCTCGCTGAGAAAGATGATTAAATTAAACCTTTGGGCAATAGCAGATGTATAAGACAGTTAAAAAAGGTTGCACCAAATACATGTGCAATATTATATAAAATAAAGACATAGAACCCAGGTAGTGAATAAGTCAAATCAGGAGATTTGGGGCATATTACTTTTTCTGAAAGCACAGATGTGCTCTGGCTTATCTAAGAAGGTATTGGCGCATTCTGGATTTTTGGAAGTATATTACTGATACTTTCTAACACACTTCATTAACTGTATAATTTATGTTTTAATCAAACAAAAGCAAAAGACAGCTATTAATAACAACAATAAATATTTGCCATGTATTTTCCTTTCCATGTATTCTGTCAAATAACCTAACCGACTCCTAAATGTATTTACTTGGCTCATTCTGTTTGCAAAGGCCTGCTTCTAACTAGCCTGGTATAGGACCCCAATTTTAACATTCTCATTGCCATCTAGATCATCTGCGTTAGTCTTAGAGGCCCCTGCCTACAGCTCTTTGATGAAGATGTTATAGTGGACATAAGTGAATCCAAATCCAAACAGGTGATGAATATATGTCAAACTTCTCCAGTGATGATAATATCTTTCTTCACAGCATAACCATTTAGATAGGTAAGGGAAGCCATATGCCTAAAACCTGTTAATACTGTTTCTGCAACTTGCTACTAAGGCAGCTTAAAATCCCTCTGTAAAACACTATGTGATTAATTCACATAGTTATGCACCATGTGTTAGGGAATAACCTGAGGATCTGGAATTACTTCATTATACAGTTGTAATGCAAGCTACAGTATTGCTTTATTAAAAACATCCTCTGGGAAGGAAAATTCATATTCCCTAGTACAGAGAGAAGTTACAAAACAATGGTCCTGGCCACACAGAAATCTAAAACTTGGGCCATGTATATTCAAGGCACTGTGGTTATTTCAGAAAGTTCTAGGTGTAAAATGTTTAGGGAGCATCATGGCTTAAAGTTAGTACACAAATTGTCACTTGGTGTTTTTGCTCAACATTCACATTGCCTCATTTATTTCAGAGTCTAGGGTGGCAGCATTTTCTATGTGTAATCCTCCAATTTTTCCAAGTCTTCCATTTTTTTTTCTTAGACTGTCCAATAGTTTTGGTAATGCTGTAAGATATCAGGGTAGAAATATAACAGCTAAAACTTAAAGCAAAATATTTATTTCACCACAGAATTCCAGTACAAAATTAGCTACCTGTCTTGTAGGGTATTGGGTAATAGGAAGCTGTCTGCTTTTCCAGACCATAATGGAGTGACGTACACTTCTGGGTGTGAGCACTGTATTTAGATGATTACTCACAATCTAATGGATTATCTTTAGCCAATAGGTTACCAGACCCTTAGACTATGCAACTAGGAAACTAGGAAACCAATTATCTGATATAATCTAATTTTTGTAAAGTTCCAACAATGAAATGTTTATCCATGTTATTCCATAAAATTAAAGACTCAAAATTTAACCCAAAATAGATTCGTCATCTCAAAACCATAGTGACACAGCAATAAGATAAGGTGCCTTTTTTATTAGAAATGTCTGAAAGGGAACATTAATGCCTACCTGCCTCAAAATAGAAGAAAATGAGGAGTCCCCAAAAGCTAGGTTTTCTGAGGCTTCCAGGAAAACAGCACATTTGTAGTTTGGACTGAAAACTTTTACCACTTTATCCTTAAAAAACAAATAAAGTGTGTGTGTGTGTGTGTGTGTGTGTGTGTGCGCGCACACACACACACACAAAGAGCCTCAAATGATAGTTGAGAACTAATACTTGTATATTAAAATACTCAGCATATGATTTCATTTTTCAAATTTTTGATGATCTTTACTGACAAGAGATTTTAGTATCCAAACAAGTGTCGTATTATTTGATTTAAACATAGGGATAAGTATTACTTCATAGAACAGGCTAAGCATTGTACAAATAAGAATTTTACATTGTGAGCATTCTTCTTGCCTCTTCCAGATCATCAGGCATCATGCTATGATTAAGGGTAATAGAACTTCTAGTAGCATCTACTTCATTTCTAGTATGTTTATCTTAGTTATATTATCTTATATACAAAATGCAGAAAACCAATTATCATGGCCAATCGGTTCTATTTGCATATAAAAAAAGCACACATATAATGAAAGCCCTAATTTTCATCTATGTGTTTGACTGGCATTTTACCAGAAAGGATTCCATCTTAAATCAACATTAATGTTCAGTCCAGATTATAATAAAGAAATAAGTGAAGGAATTAAGATTTGGAAGGCATACACTTGGAAGATATATGAGAGAATATTTGATTGCAAAAGTTTGTAACTCAAAAAAATTAAATCAAAGAAAATTGGACCCTTGGAGATGCTAAGGGAAATGAAGATGGAAATAAACTAGGAGATAAAGAAGCTGCGATTTTACAGATTGGTCTTAGTAAGGACATTAGAAACATGAACCTGTGGCAATGGACGGTTGATCCCAAGGAGCACAGAAAAAGGAAACTAGGAAAGATATTAAAAACTAAGGAACTGTTGACAAATTCATGAACACACATGAGAAGAGAGAGAAGCAGTAGTTACCTTGGAGCTGTGGTTAGGAAAAAGAAGACCAAAAAAAAAAAAAAAAAAACCTGGCCTAGAAAGGGCAGTTTAAGGAGAAACAAGATATATGAAACACAATTTTAAATCGAGACAGAAAGACTACTCACAAAGAAGCAAAAGATGAGAGGGAGAAGACACAAGGCTTTTCCCTCCAACAGCATTTAGCCTACATGAAATTCCATTCCTTGCACGAAACAAGGGAAGAAGGGCAGGTTCTTGCAAAGTATTAAGGAGTATTACTTGGCAAACTAGCTTGATGCTGACAGAAAGAGAGAGAGAGATCCATCAGGCAGATCCATCAGACCCACTAAGAAGGATCAAGGCTTGAAGACTCAAAAGGACAATCAGCCAGGCTAAGATGGAGATCCAAACCAGGAGAAGGATCTTGCAGCCAAACACAACATAGTGAGGAAGGGCTCCTACACAAGCTTTTTGCAGGGCTTCCGCGTGAGGGTCTATGGTGGACTAAACATTCCTGATGAAGAGAGGGGTGGCATTGCAGCAGAAATGGATAGCTAAATGGTGATTTCTGGCCAGCATAGTCTTTCTGGACAAAGAGAATTGTGGGATCACCCTCTTGTACTCTAGACAGCTATTGCTCATAAGAAGACTGCAGGGATTGAGGTTTTTCTAGTCAATATGTGAGTTGACTGCTGGGAATCAAAAGATTTCAATCAAACTCACAGCCTAAATGCTGCCTATATGGACACAAGGTTCACAGGGGCCTTACTTTCTTAAAACACTTTTGGATGTAATCAAATAAACAGATTTTCTGAGTGGCAGGACAAGAGAAACCCACTTGGTGAGTCAACCTTCTTTCTGGATTAGAAGGGGAAAAAAGGGGTTTCAAAGATCTACAAAACTTTTGGCAATACGCTTAAGAAGGATTGGATGAAATTGATACTGAAATTACAAGTGGAATAACATGGCTATGCAAAATGTGTTTCATTAACATTATTCCTGTATAAAAGACAAGACATTTCTCTGGAGAAAACAAATGAATATCTGAAGAAACAAAATTTACAGAGGATTACAGACAAAGAGAAACAGATTACGAATGGACCTATAACAATAAAGGAAGTATGCAAAGTTATAAAAAGTATTAAATCAGGAAAGGAAAGGAGCCCAGACCAGATGGATTACCATGTTCTTATTATAAATGTTTTGAGGATGAACTTCTATAAACTTTACAAAATATGATGAATTCTGCTTTATAGGGAGAAGGATGTCAGAACTGGAAACTGGCCAATATAGCATTAATAACTGTTTTTAAAAGTATATTTGGTTTGTGTTAAGTATGTGCTCTGTTTTTTAAAATACTTTAGTCCATTAGACAGCTCAATTTGTATTGTGTATGATGAGAAAGAAAAAACTGCTGGCATTTTATACTCAATCATCATTCATTAAAACAACAAGAATTGTATTAATTTAAGATTGGTAAAAGAGAACATTATGGGAAAAAGAGGAAATAAAGTAAAGTTATTATGTGGATTATAGATTATAGAAACCAACTGTTAGTGAATGTTTCTTAAATGTAAATCCAGACAACACACTGTTTACCGAATATTAAGGTGATTATGTTAAAAAATTAATAAA